CGTTGCAGCCCAAGTGCAGCCCCGTTGCAGCCCCGTTGCAGCCCCGTTGCAGCCCCGTTGCAGCAGGGCTCCCCTGCTCCCAGGGACAGGGCTCTGCTGCAGACACCGAGCGGTGTTCCAGTCCCGTGAGCGGCTGGGGACGCAGCAGAGAGGGGCTGGAAGGAGCAGCAATGCTGTCCTCAGCAGGGCAGATGTGCTCACTCCCCGCTCCAGCTGCACACCCAGTGGCATTCCCTGGACAAGGGTTCTGTCATTTGAAAGCCACGGCCTAGAGGGGAAACAAACAATAGAAACAGGAGCTGTTAAGAGGCAGCACTGCTCCAGTGCCCGCTCCCCTCGGAGTGTCTCGGCCGTACTTTGATGCTGAGCTCTTGAAGAGCTGAGCTGCTGGGGCAGAGCACCAGGGCAGGGGGTCTGGGGAATGCTGCTCCTGCGTGGAGCAGCTTCCCAGCCTCTAAAGCTAGTCTGGATGCACAGAAGTGGCACTGGTCAATCCCAAACAGGCCAAAGGATTTAAATCTGAACTTCTTAAACTGGACTGGAGATTCCTCTCTGTCAGGCCGAGCACAGCTCCACAACTCATTCAGCAGGTAACTCCTTCACTTGCCCCAGCAGCCATAACAAAGCCCCTCTTATTCTCCCCCACACCACTTTGGGAGCTGTTGCTATCATTTCTGCAGTCTGGCTTTCAAGAAGCCACAAGACAGTGATTTTATTTCCTAGGAACCCCAGCTGCTGTACAGCTGTTCTTTATTGCTTCACAGCAGAAGTTAAGAGCCTCTCTCCAAGCCATGTGAACTTGATAGGCTGGACCTGGAGAGCTTTGCTGGCAGCTCATCCCCCAGCACAGCCCCTGACCCAGCCCCAGCAGCTCTGCAGCACCACACAGGCTCCCAGCACAACACAGAAGCGTCCCCAGGAACTGCTCTGTCATTTACAGCCACATCTACAGCTCATTGGCAGTGAACGCCTTCGCAGAGGCTGATAAATTTGGCAGCTACCAGGCAACTTTCCTCTAAGGTTACCTCACCAAAATCTTGCCCTGCTGAAGCTCCCCTTGGCTGTTCAGAGCAGTGCAAGCCCTACCCCAGCTCGGTGTCACCCCTCCACATCTCGAGTCTGCTCTGGAGCTGCAACACCAAAGGGCAACAAAGCCCCACTGCAGCAAACTCCCTTTTTTACATTGTTTTCCCCACTCCTAAACAAAGGACCCCTTGCTGTGGGACAGATTTCCACTGCAATGCCAAAACACAGCCTCTGGCCCGGGTTTATAGAGGCTCTGAACTGGTACACTGCTCTCTCCAGCTTAATGCTTGCTCCTCTGAAACACCACCCTTAAACACCACCCAGAACAGCTCTTCTTCCTATAGAGCTTTTTATTTGCTTGTAGAACATCTGTCTCCTTAATGTCCCTTTCCTTGCTAGCTGCCTTTTATTCCTCTATTGCCATCACATGTCTCATCTGTCACGCTGGACCTTTTTCCCTTAAAGGCACACACAGCTGAGGAAGTCTGAAAAGGCTTTGACAAAAGCACAATCTGATCCAAACCATCATCCTCACAAAATCTTACTTGCCCCAAATTATGAGATGTTAGAGGTCCTTAATGAAACAGCTGGGATATTTTTAACGTGGTCAAAAAACCTATTTTATCTTCTGACCTTCAGCTCAGAAATAGCTGCACTATTTTTTTTTTTTTCAGTTTTCAAAAAAAATTACTGCATAAAGCGAACCACCCCTACAATTTCAGCCTCAATATTTAAAGTTTGGCATCACATAACTAGCTGAAAACATGGTCTCTAGACAGAAGATGTTAAACAACTGCTACTACTCTCAACTTCTAGCTCTGTCTACAATAACAACAAGCTTAAGTGACCAGGCCTCAGCTGTTCATCTCATTCCATGTGCCAGAAATACGCAGCAGGGAGATCTGCTCTTCAATGATTTCTGCTAAAGTAGGTGGCAAACCCCCTTTTTCTTCCAGAGCAGAGCACAGATTGCAGCAGGGGGCTCCTGGCCCAAGCAGAGCTGAGCTTTGCCAGGGGAATGAACGGGTTAAACACGGGCTGTGGGACACAGCACTGAGCAGCTGGCTCGGTGTGCAGAGTGGTGCTGTCACACCTGGAGGGGCAAAGAGGGGGTCCCAGGCCTGTGCTGGCCATGGCAGATGGGTTCTCTCCCCTGGCCCAGTTCAGCACCGTTTGGGCCGTGCCTGTGCTGGATCCTGCCCGGGTTTCAGCAGCACAGCCGGGTCACAAATCACGGTCAGGGCTCGCTGCTCAGTCCCTCTCCTCCCAGGTGCACATCCCTGCTCCTGCAGAGCATCCCTGCTGTCACCCTGGTGTCACCCTGCAGTGCCCCACGGGGACCCTCACACAGATCAGTGGAAGTTACAGAATGGAGGAATTACACCGTGAATAAAATTCAAAGTTCTGTCACAGAAGCACAGAATGGTCTGGGATAGGAAGGACCTTGAAGATGACCTGGCTCCAACCTCTGGCGTGGCAGGGACAGCTCCTCCAGAGCAGATTGCTCTCTCTGTGGCTGTACCTGTCTCCAACACAAGGCAAGGCTCGCTGTCGGGATCATTTCTTTTCCTCTCCCAGCTCCCAGCCGGAGCGGGAAGCTGCCCCAGCTCTGAGCCAGGCTCTGCCACCCTGGATCCTTTTCCCCACCTGAAATCAGGGCTGGTAAAGAATATCTACCTGTATGAAATAACTGGAAAGCCTGGAGCGAGAAAGGCAGCAGGAAGGGCCGTGGGATGTGGCAGTCCCCATTCTGGAACGCAGGTACAGCTGTTGTACAGCGCAGGGCTGCTGTGCAGCTCCTGCTGCAGCCACACATCTGCAGACACCTGTCCTGCCTCTGATCGCTCCACCTGCCCTCCCAAAACCTGGTGTGCCTGGAAGCGCTGTCAGCCTGACCTGAGACCCACCCCAGGAGCTTCGCGAGGTAATTCTTGTTCAGAAAACACAGGGCTGCAGTTGTGGAGGCACATGTGAGGTCAGGAGGGGGATGCCAGAGTCATTTCAGGACACAATGCAAGGGCTGTAGACAAATATACCTACACATATAGGTATAAAATTAGACCAGCCAGTCAGCTGGGGAAAGCAGATGCGTTTTCTTTTAGCACGAATCACAGGCTCAAGGCTGGTTTGGGTTGGAGCGGGGCTTAAAGCTCATCTCGTTCCAGCCCACCCCTTCCACTCGGCCGGGTTGTTCGTGCCAACATCAAACGCGGCCTTGAAGGTTACCTCAGCCCTCGTTTCGGTCAAGCTTTTGCTGTAATGGTGCGTTCCGAACATTTCCAGCCCAAATTCCCGAAAGGAGAGCGCGCCGCACACCCATCCTGCTGCATCCCCAGGCGTGCTAAGGGTGCGAGCGCAGGCTCCAGGCGCATTCCCGGTGTCCAGGCGCATTCCCAGCGC